GTCAAATTAAGAGATAAAAATAAGACACCCTCCTTGACAAAGTCTATCTCTCACACCATCTCTCTCTTTCTTCTCTTGATTGCAACCAAGAATGCAAACACATACGCATATACAATGTATTTAATTATCTTCCATCAATACAAATTGGTGAAAGAGAGAAGAAGGTTTTCTTACATTTATCGTTGACTAGTATTCACAACAAGAAATATTGTTACTTTGGTGTGTACACGCGATCGACATAAGATTTTTATGTTCTTTTGAAAAGAGACGGCTTAATAGAGCTCATTGACAAATTTATTAATGGAACTATCATTTGGGTTATATAAGATCACCCTCCAAGCAACGTTGTTATACAACCTTTCTCATATTTCTCCATGTTTTTTTAAACATCTCGATGTATTTGGTTCCATGGATTAATCCTGATGGGTTTGATATTATCCTTATATTGATATGTTTTGTATTAAGTAGTATTATGATCCAACATTTAGCATTGAACCTAGTTATGTTGATTATTTCTACATAATCAAATGCTATGTGAATGCATGTGCCTTGGAATTCGACATCCTAAACAATGCTTAACTAATATCATATATATCTCAGACTACCCAACAATTTGTAATCTAACTTTGAGCTTCTTCAATAACACCTACATCATTGCTAATATTTTTTCCCATGGCCTTTAGATGTACCCCTACCTTTCTGTTCAACCTTACAAGCGGTAACATCATCTTGTACCTTCACTTCCCCGAGTCACTTTAGAGGTCACCATTGAATTGTGCCTCCATAAGCCTTCGTCATACTTACATAAACATCACAATTGAATCATCAATATACGGCTAAGCTATAATTTGTTATACATCTTGATCGGGTGGGTAATCAATGTATTTAATCTGAGGGTATCATGTAACATCCTAAATGTCCATTTTATGGTGTTAGTAAATGTTAATATGATAAAGATGTACTTATGTATGCTACTAGAAAGACCAACACCTTTATGATATGTAAAATGGGGATAAAGTTATGGTTTTTACCAAATATGCTCTAATAACCAAAGTTAAGTGGCATTCATGTTTCAGTAGTTTATATTATGTTTGATGATGAGGATTGAGTTGGAACCTCATGTATATAAGGAATGATGAAAATGACCAAATATAAGTTTATGATGCTTCATAGCGGGACAAAAAGTGAGAACTAACCTCAAAATGTGTCTGGTTGCGTTATTAATGTGGTGATTTCATATAAATGTGTCATAATATGCATGAGAAGTAAAATAGTATGAAAATTTATGTGCTTAAACATGAAAGTGGTAAATTTGCAAAGTAAGTTGTTATTTAATGTAAAAGTGGGACAAAATTGTAAAACGATTGAAAGACCTATAAAAGCAAGGTTAATTACCCTAAAAATTAGTTGAAAACATTTTATTAACACTCTATAGGGTAAATAACGGATTTGTTATGGAGAAATATGAGTTATAAATGAATTGGACAAAATTTTAAGTAAAAGATGAAAAATGTAAAAGTGTGCAACATTCTATATTCATGACTTTACAACTCAGAGATATAAATTTTAAAATTAATGACTTTATAAATGAAAGTTTTAGTAAATTCAAAAAGAAATCCAAGAAAAAATCACCTCATCTGATAAAAAAAAATTAAAAAAAAAGGGTCAACAATGGCGTCTCAATTAAATGATTTTGGAGGAAAAAAAAAAAAAAAAAAAAACTAGACTAAGGGGACTCGCATTCATGGCGCGGGGTAGAGACCAGAGAGGTGCTGCAACTTAACCATTTTGCTACCATCAATCTTGTTTAAAAGTGAAACTTCATTTTTATTGTAAGAAGAAATTATAAATGATGGGCTTTTTAAAAAATAGTAGCCCATTAAAAACGCATTGCACCCCAATACACAAATTCGCAATCCACTAAAAGCCCATCCAGTTGGTTAGATATGCATTTCTTAATTTTGTTATTTTTTGAAAAAATTATTATTTTTGTGTTTTCTCTTCATTTTAATCCATAATACTTTTTACAAAAAGCGAGTGGAATTAAAAAAGGTAACGACCAAGTATGTACATGATACATATTTTGGTTACCTATATATGTCAAAAATATGTTGTTCCAAAAAAATATTGTTAATCAAATTAACATGTTGGATTATAGAAAGTTGTTATTAAGTTCGTTTTTTCATAGATTCATGGAATTTATGAATATGGTCCAGCAAATAAACTTTTCAACAAACGAGCAAGTATAAGTCTCCCGAGTAATATCCTTAATGTGTCAGCTGGTATATATGTTTCTATATATTGAGATTGGGATTTAGCAAAACTAAGCATGGAGATTGGTCCCGAATTGTTTTCAGATCTTAACCAACGGGCTTCCATCCCGATAGTTCTCACTTCTCAGTGTGGTTTTCTATTCCCAATCACATTCACGCCATATCTTTGGACACATGTTCATCGAAAACAACAATCTTTCGTGGAATACCAAACAATTAAGAAGTTACAAGTTGATGTACGTATCTAGGATTCTTAGATACTGTCACATATATACGGGTCACTCTCCTACAAATAGTGAATCACATGTACGTACTTAAGTTCTTATTACCTCCATTCATTCATATATCAGTTATGTTTCCGATAAGAATGGTGATGATTGTGGTGGTTTTGATGGTAAACGCCGCTTGTGTGGTGGCCATCCGCTGCCCGGATTGTGGGAAGACTCCAGTTCCGTATCCACTCAGCACTACACCGTTGTGTGGCCATCAATCGTACAAGATTCGGTGTGACATGGGTGTGTTGAAGTTTGTTACGGGCAGCTACACTTACCCAATCATATCAATCTCCCAGAAAAATCAACGGCTAGTCATCGGTCCATCGGATTTATTACCAAATACCTGCGTTACGTCTGATTTAGGTAACGAGGGACTTCAGCTGAATACCTCTTTACCCTTCACAATCACCCAGAGCAACACTGTCTTATTCTTCAACTGTACAGAGCCAACGGGGAAACTTGCATATGATTGCTCGCCGGCAAGCGCTTGCAACACCTGCCAGAACGGCCTGCCGAAGATGTCCATTTGCCGGAAAACTCCACGTTGTTGCACCTTCAGAAAAGGCAGCTACACAAACTTGTATTCCATTCAGCTCAATATAGATCGATGCAGGGCTTACTCAAGCTTCGTGAATGTAAACACATCGTTGCCGTTTACCAAATGGCCGAATCCTGGCGTGGAGTTGATGTGGGCGCCACCACCGGAGCCACCATGTTCATCGCAGGGGCATTGTGACTCCACCTCCACTTGTAGGGACGCTCACGACGGCGGAACGCGAAGGTGTTTCTGTAACCGTAAATTCCGCTGGGATGCAAACGCCGGCCAGTGTACTAAGGGTACGTAAAGATCGCAGTTTAATATTACCTTTTAGCATAATTAAGTAATTTTATTACAGATCTAAAAAAAGTCAAAGCAAAACGGAAGGTACTTGGAGCGACTGCAGTTTGCATCGGAGGGACCATATCTGTAGCAGTTGTATTTGCGATCACAATGTTCATCCGCCGTCAAAGAATCAAAGCAGCACGAAAACGCCTTGCTTGTGAGCGCCAAAAGATTCTAAGGTCGAGTGGCGGTGGAAAATCGTCCAAGATCTTCGCCAGCAAAGAGATCAAAAAGGCAACAAACAACTTCTCCTCCGCCGGTCTTCTTGGCGTCGGAGGTTTTGGTCAAGTGTATAAAGGGGTGTTGGACGACGGCACTACAGTGGCTGTAAAATGTCCCAAGCTTGGAAACACCCAAAGCATAGATCAAGTCCTAAATGAGGTTCGAATCCTATGTCAAGTCAACCATAAAAACCTAGTACAACTTCTTGGTTGCTGTGTAGAACTTGAACAACCATTTTTAGTATACGAATACATTCAAAACGGAAGTCTTTATGATCATCTACATGGTAAAAACAAACGCCCTCTAACATGGAGTCAACGGTTGGCCATTGCTCGTGACACTGCGGAAGGGCTCTCGTACCTCCATTTCTCTGCATCTCCCCCGATCTACCATCGCGATATAAAATCTAGCAACATTTTGCTCGATAGTCGAATGAGAGCAAAGGTTGCGGATTTCGGCTTGTCAAGAGAACTAGCTCAGGCGGATGTAACCCACGTGACAACTTGTGCCCAAGGTACACTCGGATACATGGACCCTGATTATTACTGGAATTATCAACTAACCGATAAAAGCGATGTGTATAGCTTTGGAGTGTTGTTGTTGGAGATACTAACATGTCAAAGAGCTATTGACTTTTGTCGACCGACGGATGATGTGAATTTGGCGGCTTACATTAAACGAATAGTGAGCGAGGAAAAAATGGTGGAGGCTATCGACCCGTCCCTCAAACAAGATGCAACACCATTGGAGATTGATGCTATGAAAGCTTTCGGGTTTCTTGCAATGAGTTGCTTGGAGGAAAAAAGAGAAAACCGGCCCTGTATGAAGGAAGCATCCGAAGAGATCGAGTATATCATGGGTATCGTAGCGACCAGATTAGAATTAGATGATAATGGTCCCGATAACTAGATCTTTCATGATTTGTATATTATGCATCAAAAGATGTAATCCATGCCTTAAATGTTGTACGTCATTTAGAGTTTTATGTTATCCTATAATAAACATGTTTCTCAATAGATTTATTGTGGTTGTTGAGACAATTATATATATAGTACATGTTTTGTGTTCTAGGATTAGTACGTTACATGTTTTATGTTCTAGAGAACATGAACATTTTATTTTATGTTATAGAGAACATGAACATTTTCCGCTGACATTTTAGTAACGTCTATTTCACAATAAATTCATTGTGGTAGTTGAGACTTGATAAGGTGGACGTAATACCATTGACCATTAAATAGTCAAATTAAAATACAATAAGTTATAGAAAAAAAAAAAGTCAATAAAACGACAACAGACAACTCAATATAAATCCAAATATCCTTTTCGATCTTCTTCGAAATCCAACCCATAAACATTTTTCAATCTTTTCAAACATGGCGTCTAAATCAACTTTAGGTATCATGCTCACGGTGGCGCTGGTTCTAATGTGCGCGGGTCTTGCCACCTCCGCCACCCGCTGCCCTGACTGTGGCTCCACACAAGTCCCCTACCCCCTCAGTACCGGACCTAGTTGCGGCGACCAGTCTTACAGGATCCGGTGCGACGTGAGTGAAGGTGACTTGTACTTCGACAGCCTCAACAACACCTATCCGATCTCCTCCATCTCTCAGGCCACCCAACGTTTCGTTATCCAACCGCCGACTTTCCTCAACAACAACTCCACCTGCGTGACGGCGGATATTTCCTCCCAGGGACTCCAGCTGAACTCCACCTTGCCGTTCAACATCACAAGCGGCAACACCATCTTGTACCTTAACTGCTCTGAGTCGCTTTTGAGGTCGCCGTTGAATTGTACCTCGACAAGCCTTTGTCACACCTACATAAACAACTCAGCAGAGGCGTCGGCTTGTGGCAGAGCTCCAATTTGCTGTACGTTTCGGACGGGTGGGTCATCGACGATGTACTCGATCCGGGTGAGAGACGGTGGCTGTCAGGCGTATAGGAGTTTCCCGAATTTGGATTATTCGTTGCCGGTGAGTCGGTGGCCTGCTGCTGGAGTGGAGATACAGTGGGTGTCGCCGCCGGAACCCTTATGTGGGAACCAAGCGGATTGTGATAGTAGCTCTACTTGTATGCCATCTGGTACTGGTGGTGTTAGTAGATGTTATTGTAACAGAGGACTTCATTGGGACGCCATTGACGGAGTTTGTGCGTTAGGTAATTTGGTACAACTTTCATGATCTTTGAACAGTTTTCATTGGGTATCATAAAGATGGCAATATATAATTTGGGTCAATTTATTTTTGTACAGATGATACTTGTGAGAACAGAGGGGACTGCGACGACTCCAAGCGGACTGCCCTTATTGCAGGTATTAATTATGACACTTCCACTTAAATTAAGTAACTAAAATGAGATAGATTTAGTTGAAATTTCAGTATTAAAGTTTAATCAAATCATACTAATATCACTAATTAAGTCATTATACGGTATACCCAAACATGTCCTATTTTTCAAGTATCGATAATTTTAAAATGAACATGATTTTTATAGATACTCTCACGCTATTTTGATCTCTCAATTTAAACTTGTTGTACTAAACATAGTTTTAGTTGATATTATGTTGCTATTCGAGCTATTGAATTGAGCTTGAGCCTTCAACACATAGACTAACTGAGGTTGACCTTAATCCAACACCTTCGAGTCTGGTTCAAGTTTGATTCAACTCCTATGGGTTAAATATCTAAACTTCTTAAGTTGATTTTTGAGTTTGATAGATATCAAGTACATTAGCATGTAAGTTATATTTGGAATAGGGGATAATGACTTGAAAGGGTAACAAACTTTTGACTTTGTTCACATTTAGTGACTAAACTTTTTTTCATTATCTATTTGTCACTGAACTATTGAAACTGTTCAAATTTTACCCTTATGACCGGTTGTTACCGGTCATAAGGGTAAAATGTGAACAGTTTCAATAGTTCAATGGCAAATAGATAATGAAAACAAGTTTAGTGACTAAATGTAAACAAAATCGAAAGTTCGTTTCCCTCTAAAAAAGTTCAATGACTAAATATGAACAAACTTCCTATTGTATTATGTTTTAGCAAATTATTTATTTTTGTTAAATTCTAGCAACATTTGTTGATGAAGAAATCTATGAAATAAAAAAAACAAAACAAAACCCCGAAAATATATTTAAAAAAATGAAAAACCGAAACCGAAATAAAAAACCAATGGTTTGGCATTTTCCAAAATCAAAATTTCCAATCTGATTTTGGTTTTACAAAAGAATGAACCATTCTCACTGATGTGAATTATGACCATCAGTTTGGCATGCGGAATTAAAAAACACACAAAGAACACGGTGATTTGGATGTTTAAGAGATGCATTCGATTATGAAAGGTGTTTACAAAAAAGGATTTAGATCTAAATCTACATAATTAACACATACTAACACTCTCAATGTTACATTTCTTAAGCACACCTCTACATGTGGTATGAACCCACCTTATATAGAGGTGTTTACATGTCTCTCTCTCTCTCTCTCATGTCATAAGGGTGAGTTTTGGATATAAAAATTTTGTATTGAGCGCTTTTTCATTTTTTTTTTTGGTTTTATAATCATTTTTCGATTATAAAAAAGGGGAGAGATTTAGATATGGAAATCCGAAAGTTGATTTTTTGTAAAACCAAAATCAGATTTGAAAATTCTGATTTTTTATTTCGGTTTCGGTTTTTCGTTTTTTTTAATATATTTTTCGGGGTTTTGCTACAAATGTTGCTACAATTTAACAAAAATAAATAATTTGCTAAAACATAATACAAGAGGAAATTTGTTCACATTTAGTCATTGAACTTTTTTAGAGGGAAACGAACTTTTGATTTTGTTCACATTTAATCACTAAACTTTTTTTCGTTATCTATTTGCCACTGAACTATTAAAAATGTTCACATTTTACCCTTATGGCCGGTCATAAGGGTAAAATGTGAACAATTTTAATAGTTCAGTGGCAAATAGATAACGAAAAAAAGTTTAGTGACTAAATGTGAACAAAGTCGAAAGTTCGTTACCCTTTCAAGTCATTATCCCTTGGAATAGTAACGTACGTGCTCTACATTAGAAATTAGGCCAAAAAAATAAGTTACTAAAATACTTTTACGTAAAAATGAACAAATATGTATTGTAGGAGCAACAATATATTCTTGGCGAAATCGTGTTTGGAGGTTGGTCAAAAGTAGGCCGAAAATTCAAACAATTAGTTTAATTTAAGTGGTATAATAACTAATTTTATTCATATTCCCTGGTATATTACCAAAGTGGTTTTTGACTTTTTGTATGGTTAAAATGGTTAATATATTTCAAGACATACACTTTTCTAAAACAAAACCTCTACATATTTATATTATTTTGTTTTTGAAACTTTTTTTTGGAGACTTTGGTTCACCGGATTCAATGAGATGTGGACATGATTGATATTTCATCTCTTTCTATCTTAATCAATGTTTTAAAAACCGGTTTTTTAGTTGAACCGACATGGTGACCTGTTCCCAGTTTAACCGGTTCCACTGTCGGGTCAACCGATTTCTATAATTTTCCTATTTTTTCCTATTTTCCTACACATACATACATATATAAATCATGAATTTGATGTTTACAAGTTCAAACATTAAAAATATACATAAAAATAAGTTGTAGATTAATCCAAATACATTAAAATAACACATAACCATAAGTTTTAGTGTTTTAAATCAATCAATATACTCAAAAAAGAAAATAAAATATAATACCAAAACAAAATATAGTTTTATATGAATACAAACACATAAAAAACTTTGTAATATTTATCATATGTCTTTATTTAGAGAAAACTAATTAGATTTGAGAAAAATCACCAAAATTTATTATGCAAATGGTTCTTTTTCATGTGTTTTTATTCGGTTTAACCGGTTAATTTTGACCGGTTCAACCGGGTTTTTCTAAAAACCAGCCGGTTCAATCCGGTTCAAAAATCGACATAAAACCGGTGATAGTTGAACCGCTCCCTCCCCCGGTTTCCGGTCCAACCGGTTCGACCGGCCGGTTCAAACCGATTTTTAAAACACTGATCTTACTCATGTGTTTGGTTGACCATAACTATGGTATTGAATTCGATTTCAGATCACAAAATCTTTTGACCATGGATATCAACATTTTATCTTAGAACAATAGAACCTATTGAATTTAATTGTTTACATTTCCTTTTAAAAATAGTTAGATACCCTTTTAACAGTAGAATGTTACAATTAAATGCCTCTCGACCTCTCCATCTCTTTTCCCTCTTCCAGCTCAAAAATTCCATTATGTTTCCCGCCAATCAGATGCATGAAAACTCATATCTTTCAAAACAATTTGCGAACTAACAAACTCCACTATTTTGCTGACATTTAAATGTTCAGGTTTGACCTCCGGTCTGGGAGCAACCCTTGTGGCAGCGTTAATCGGACTCCTCCTTTACGGACGCCATCGCCGCCACAAAGAAGCACAAGCACGCCTTGCACGTGAACGTGAGGAAATACTAAACGCCGGTTCCGGGAAAAACGCTAAAGTGTTCACCGGCAAAGAAATCAAAAAAGCCACACACAACTTCTCCAAAGACCGCCTCCTCGGCACCGGAGGATTCGGCGAAGTATATAAAGGCATTCTAGAAGATTCCACCGTCGTCGCCGTCAAATGTGCCAAACTCGGAAACACAAAAGGCACCGATCAAGTCCTCAACGAGGTCCGAATCCTCTGTCAAGTTAACCACCGTGGCCTGGTTCGCCTCCTGGGCTGTTGTGTTGAGCTTGAACAGCCATTACTGGTTTACGAGTACATCTCAAACGGAACCCTCTTGGAACACTTAAAAGGTCAACACAACGGCGATTTGACTTGGAACCACCGGCTAAACATTGCTCGTGACACGGCGGAGGGGCTAGCCTATCTCCATTTCTCAGCAGTTACACCGATCTACCACCGTGATGTCAAATCAAGCAACATCCTGTTAGACGAGAAATTGAACGCAAAGGTTGCAGATTTTGGGTTGTCACGGTTGGCTGAAGCGGATTTGAGTCATGTCACAACGTGTGCTCAGGGAACTTTAGGGTATTTGGATCCTGAGTATTATAGAAACTATCAATTGACAGATAAAAGCGATGTTTATAGCTTTGGGGTGGTGTTGTTGGAGTTACTAACATCGCAGAAAGCAATAGATTTCAATAGACCACCAGACGATGTGAACTTGGCGATTTATGTGAAACGGGTTGTTGAAGAGGAGAGGATGTTGGATGCGGTTGACCCGAAACTGAAGAGTGGGGCTAGCAAGTTGGAGTTGGAGACGATGAAAGCATTAGGGTTTCTTGCGGTGTCGTGCTTAGAGGAACGTCGACAAGATCGGCCTTCGATGAAAGAGGTGACGGAGGAGATCGAGTATATCATTAGCATTGCCACACATAAAAGTACGGAAGACCAATACACTTCAACGGATACCAAATAAATGTTGTAGAACAGTAGAAATGTATAGGAAACTATAAATAAGGTATTTGATATTACCATAAGTTCTATTTTTTGGTTAAGTTTATCTGGCTTTCTTTTATTTTTATTTTTTTGTTAGAAAATAAATTAGTAAGGGAACATCATTTTTGAACATGTTTAGTAGTTTTTTATTTTTATATACATTTTACCATTAAATTCATGTTTGTTGTTCAAAAAATATCATTTTTATTGGCTATTGTAAGTTTAGTCCATTTACCTGTTTAAGAAAATATCATTAAGCTCATATTTGTTATTCAAAAATATCATTAAACTCACATATTCGTACAAAACTTATCAGTGAACTAATTTTTCTACACATTTAGTCATTTGTATCTTTTCCAACCAACGAAGAAAGATAACACAATTTTACATGTTCTTTTTTTAAAACATTGCAAAGTGGACAATTTCTCCATTCAATATCCTCTTTGGTGAAATACTCCTACCTTCTCCATTTACTATCGGTGGCATCTCTCCCGCCTCCGTACACATATTTCCATGCTCTTCTCGCTCTCTTGCTACTTTACGAAAACAACACAACCCCCACATCCCTTTCTTGCTTTTTCTTTTTGAATCATGTGACACCCGTAACCATCGATATTCAAAGGTTTTAGATCAATTTCTTGGTGGTGATGATGAATGGTGGAGATAGGTGGTTGAGATGGCGAATGATGGTCATAGAATGTGATTATGGTGATGGTGGGAGCTAATGGTGATGATCGGAGAAGATGATTGAGACATAGTTTTTTTGATAAATCATATATACAAAATTTAATGGTAAATTCTATAAAAAACGTTTAATTTTGACCAAGTTAACATAAATTTCCAAAATTTACATGTTGGCCCTCTTAATAATTAAGATTTTTCATCTTTTACGTTTTTCCTGTGATCAGAATCTATCATTTAATTTACATAAAAAGTATTTTTCTATTTTCCTTTAAATCTGAAAACAATAATTAAAGACTAAATTGCACAAATGGTCCATGTGGTATGTCGAAAATTGTCATTTTGGTTCAAAAAGGTTTGGACTAGCACCAGAGGTCCAAAGTTTTCATTTTGTTGCGAGTTTGGTCCAAAAATTTGGAACTTTCTATAATGACGGATTTGCCCCTTATTATTTTATTATTTTATTTTTCTTATATTACAACATTGTATAAAACAATTAAAAATAAAACAAAAATAAAATCTCTCTCTCTCTCTCTCTCTCTCTCTCTTGCATTTTGGGTCAGAATTAAGACCCAACACCACAAGCACAAACACACAAGCACTTCGTCAAGCTTGCATATATTCTTGTAAACCCTAATGTCCATCTCTGCAACTTGAAATAATTTGATCTCTTTTCCTTAGCCCTTAGGTCTATGCATTTAGGGTTTTAGATAGATTGGTATCTTCAGAAAACAACAACAAAAAGTATCTGGCTTCTTGTTGCGGTTTGGATCTAAAACAAAAATGGTTCAGATTTGGAGGCGGGTTTGCTAAACAAGAAAGCCCTATTTATGCTATTGTTACTAGAATTCGTGGTCGTCGGCTATCTCACATCCATTGCCTCTGCACGGCTCTCCAACATCACCCCCGTCCGGAGCTCTGGATCTACGTTTACTGGTTCGTTTTCGTTTTTGGGAACACCAACTATAGGGGAAGAACGAGCCATGGATGAAGACGATGTTGTTCCAGATCTGAAATGGAGGTTTGCAAGCTGAAAACAAGAAGGACGACAGAAGAAAGAGGATGACGGATCATGTGGTCGTTCGATTACAGATCGAGTGCTAAATTGACTTCGCCCCTTTCCTCTCACCTTCATATCGACTTCGAACAGCAACATGTATGTGTTATTTAATCAATGGCGCACAAAAACCCTCATGTGTGTGGGTTTGTTCGACTGGGAAGCAGTGACACACACACATTTAATGTGTTGATCACAAACAGAGGGGATGAGCACGAGAGATCCTGAGAGAAATTAGTTGCATTAAGTTTGTAGAGATAATAAAAAGATACGGGAAAGAAAGGATGTGACATCAAGATCTGAAATTGAAGAAGAATATGATGGTGATATGTGTTCTTGGGATGTGGAGAGAGAGAGAGAGAGAGAGAGAGAGAAAGGGGGGAGAGAAGAAGAAAGAGAGTATTTTTTCTGTTATAAAAAAATTATTTTTAATCGGAAAAATATTTAATGAAATAAAAAAAATGAAAAATGAAAAAATAAGGGCAAAATCGTAATTATGAAAAAGTTTAACACAAATTGGACCAAACTCGCAACAAAATAAAAACTTTGGACCTCTGGTGCTAGTCCAAACCTTTTTGGACCAAAGTGGCAATTTTCGACATACCACGGGGACCATTTGTGCAGTTTAGTCATAATTAAATTCCCAAAATCTTGTATTTAAATCCTCGTTTAAAAGGAACTTGGGCTTGACATTCTCTTGGACCAAATTATCTATGTATTGAATTTGCTTGAAGCCCACCTGTCAACTTTTTATCATTTTAATTAATAATAACAATTCCATAACTTTTCATCAAAATCTAATCCAAACCCACGTGGTTTTGGATAATCGAATTCATATCCTAATCCACGAAATCAACATATATCATCTTCATTAAAACGACCTGTTATAATATTAAGATTGTATAATTATTATTCATTCCACAATACATAAATCAGAGTTTACTTCGTACTTAAGATAATATTTATTAAATAAAATAAAATAAATTAAATATCCTTCTATATTTCTTCCTATATATCCTCTTATTCATATTAAATGGTGATATGTGTCACACATATGTATTAAAATATTATTATTTTTATTTAATACGACACATGTTATCATTTAAGATTGGTACGAGGAAATGTAAAAAAGTAAATGTAGGATGGTATTTAATTTCTTATAAAATAAATGTCTACTATAGCTAACAAGTATGAGACAATGTAGATTTCGAGATGGATATTCTAGAATTCAATAATCTGAAATCCCACTCTAAATCGACAGAGATAGATGGAAGAGGCCTACGTCTATTTTGACTTTTGACTGGATCGGCTTGGTCTCGCTCCCTTCCCGTACTATTCCTCCCCACTAAAAAAATAGCGATTGAGAATCTCGAGAACCTTTTTGAACGTCTGTCTTCGCGGGGCTGAACAGTCAACTCACCCTGATGATGTACGAATAATACAAGTATAAAATAAAAAATTAAATAACTTACAAATCCAATTAACATTTTTTTTTTAATTCTCGTGCAAGCCCATTTGTGATTAGGGATGAGCATTTAGATGGGGGAACCAGCCGGAACCGGTACCGAAACCGGAACCGGATAGAACCGATCGGGCCGGAACCGGGACGATATTTTTGTGGATTTTTGGAACCGGGAACCGGTCGGAACCGGAACCGGCAAAAAAAGGAACCGTATGTTGCTATTTCTCGAAGACCGGTTCCAACATTGAAGACACGGGAAAAACCGGTAGGAACCGGTAGAACTGGCGGTCCGGTTCGGGCCGGTTCCAGCCGGGTCGGTTCCTTTGCCCATCCCTATTTGTGATCACCAAAGGTAATCTCGGGCTTCGAATACGATTGAAAAAATGGGATATAGTATTATAATTTTAATATTTATATGAGATGGATTATACATGGAATGAATATTAATGTTCTGTCCAACTTTTTAAATAAATAGGTCGATGGATATAGACCATTAACAAGTAATGAATTAAAAATTAAAATTCTAACCCTTATAATTCATTAAAGTTTTGATCGAACTACATGTGAGCAACTTTAAAGCCAAAAATTAAGATATCCTTAAATACTACTAATGTGAGACTAGCTCATTTGGTAGAGGTGAAAACCTTTTAAAGTGGAGGTTCCTCGTTCAAGCACAAACATAAACAAATTAAATAATTTTATAAATTTAACTTTAACCACTAACCAAAAAATTAGTATAACTTTAATACAACGACAGACACTTCAAAAAATAAATAAAAGAACTAAAAAGTACTATAACTTTAATGCTGTTATGAAATATTAGTTTGTGAATGACCATTGGTCCCCATTTCTTTCATAACTCTCTATCATTATTTAGCATTAGTAACAACCATTTCAATGTGTTTTGTGAGTGTAATAATGCACCATCATGATGTGCATTCATATTCCATCTTATTTTGGTTATATAAATAGTGAGTCATATGTATTAGAAAGTTGATGATTTCAACACAAGTATTTGAAATAAAAGTTATCTACACTCTCATGTCTTTCTTTACTCTATAATTTATCTTGTTATTTGATTATATTTTATAACACGTTATCAACACGACTCTATCATAGAGCTCTAACTCCATATTACTCTTGTCATTTTTAGGTATATATTTTTTTTAAGTTCACATGTACAATGCTTACAGCTTATTTTATGAATTTCTTAACTAACAATTCTTTGACATACAAGTCTTTATTTTTATTAGTATTTTCACTATGGAAAACCATGATAGAGAAAAATTTCCCTACTTTTCATGCCACTAACATGCTCCTGTAGTAGCAATATCATGAGAAAGGTTTAAAAAAATCTGAATTAATCTCATGTCTTTTAGTGGCTAAACAAAACAATGAACTATTGATGAAAAACCATCAATCACGCCCGACCGGTTCTAGCCCATTCCATGAAGAGAATGCAACATCATATAATCATAGTAACCATGGGTCTAACTGAGGTCGTGGAGGTCGTCATAATTATCGTAACAATAATAACAAGATTGCAAGTAACCACCAGAAGTTGGAAAATAACAAAAACTCACATCGTAATGATAAAAGTGGTCAAGGCAAAAAGAATATTAAAAATAGTTGTCACCGATATGGAATGACCAGTCATTGGTTGCGTACATGAAGCTCTCCAAATCATTTTGTTGATCTTTATCAAGCTTCTCTCAAATCTAAAGAAAAATAAAATATCAGAACAAATTTTATTCAAAGTGATTTTCACGAAGATCAAACAGAAATGACACATTTTGATGTTGCCAGTTTTCTTGTCTACCCAAAAGGAACAAGTGGTGTTATGTATGGTAATGAAAGAATAATATGTAGTTTTGGTTCATGCCATTTATTATGTTTTTATGTCATATTCGTTTCATGAGAAATGATGCCATCACAATTTGGG